GCATAACTATCATATAGTTGTACAAAGGCCCTCCTGGACATAGCTGTCACCTTCTTGAGCAGAAATCAGGAGTTCAGGAGAACACCCAGACTATACACTCTGTGGTATAACCATGAGCAAGGAGGGTAATTCTCCCAGAATCAATAAGTCCTGAATTCAAAACCCCTGCATATTGCCAGGGTTCAGTTTCAGCCTGTTGCTCCTCATATAGACCTCAACTACTTCCAGGTACTAAGAAAAATTGGTCAAGGCATTGTTTAACTCATCATTTGCAGAAATTTACAACAGAGTATCATCAACATGATGGATGATCTCACCTAACAGCTTTATGTAGATATGAAACAGGAGTGGAGAAAGCACCAACTTATATGGAACTTTTGGAGAAGGGGCCACAGGTTGGACCTCTCACTGACTGAAAAGAGCCTCTGACGAAGGAAGTGAACCAGACAACATAGTGCTTCCCATACCCAACCCCCAGAGCTGCTCCAGAATGATACCCTGATCAATAGTATTGAAAACTGGAGAGACCAGGTAGAGCAGGAATGTACTACCCCCATCCTGCTCCCACCAGAAGTCACCAAAAAGCAAAACCAATACCATTTCCATCCTGTAGCCATCTTGAAACCTGATTGAAAGGAGTCCAGATAATCCGTTTCATCCAGGATCCTCTGGAACACACTTACCCCATATTCACTCACCATGTCACAGCTCCAGATCCCGATAGAGGCCTCTTTACAGTACAAAATCACATTCAAAACAAAATAGTCCATGAGTAGCTTTACATTTAGTTGATCAGAGGAAGGGGCCATACAAAACTTTCAGCAGCTGAGGAAGCCAAAATACAAAGTCAGGTAGGTCAGGGTATTTGTGCATCCCCCCCCCCCGGTTTGGTCAGATGTTTACGGTGGAACCGGGCACAAAGCCATTCAGCGTTCATGTCCTGGTCCCAGACGCAGGATGCCTCTGCTAGCAGGTACCCCTTCCATAGAACGAGGTATTGTAGACAGCCTCGGTGCCACCAAGAATCTAGGACCTCTTCTATTACATAATGATGTGTTCCCCCGATTTCGATAGGTGGTGGTGGGAAGATGGAGGGGTTCCCTGTAATGAAGACATCTTGAGCAGACGTAGAAAACCTACCGGATGGGTTTTCCCTAACAAAGGTGGGAGCCGTTATTGCACCGTTACAGGGTTCATCACCTGCAGTATTGTAAATGGTCCAATATACTTGGGTGCGAGTTTCCTGCTGGGTACTCGGAGGTTGAGCTATTTGGTGGATAGGTACACCTGTTGCCCCACATGGAAGGGTGTCTGTGGCCTCCTCTTTTTGTCAGTTTGAGCTTTATATTTTTGAGCCGCCACTCGCAAAGCCTCCTTGACCCTCTCCCATGCCCGTTGCATCTGGGCTATCCATCCCTATACTTCCAGGTCCTTGGTCTCTTGTTGGGGACATTCAGGTATGGGATGAACTCCGTTCCTGTGGCTACCTGGAACAGGGTATATCTGGTGCTGCTATGGACGGCATTGTTATATGCCACTTCCGCAAAAGGAAGCAAATCCGCCCAGTCCATTTGCTGGTGTGTTACATAGCACTGGATATACTGCTCCACCATTGTGTTTGCTCTTTCGGAGGCTCCATTGGTAGCTAGGTGGTATGCTTAGTTGAGCCCCTGGGTTGACCCTATTGTGGCCAGAAATTCACACCAAAAACTGGTGGTGAATTGAACCCCCTGTCAGACACAATCCTTTTTGGGACACCGTGTAACCGGTAGATATTTGTAATGAATAGCTTAGCCAGTTTTCTAGCTGAGGGTAGCCCCTTACAGGCCACAAAATGGGCCTGTTTTCAGAATAGGTCAATGACCGTCCAGATCACTGACTTTTCCCCACTAGCTGGTGGGTCCACAGTGAAATCCATGGCTATCTCCTCCCACGGCTTGAGAGGAGTTGCCATGGATTGGAGGAGGCCAGGCGGTTTTCCTGGTTGCTTTTTCATTGTGGCACAGGTAACACAACTGCGCATGTATTGTTCAATGTCTTTATTTGTGGCCACCAAAACTGACGATTGACCAAATGTAATGTCTTGAGAAATCCAGAGTGGCTGGTCACTTGGACATCGTCGCAATACCTCCGTCTGGAGAACACTCTGTATGTAGATCTTGGAACCTTTCCATGCCAAGCCATCCCTTCGACTAAGGGTGGTTTGATTGGCTTGAATCCACTAATCCGTTAGAAGGGATGTTTTAATATTGCAGATTATCTCCATTGCCAGATGTTTTAACCGGACGGTACCCACTATCTGCTGCGTTGTACCTCCCATAGGCAGCGATGCTGGGATTATGGCCTGCACAACCTCTTCATGGTCACTGGCGTACTGTGGCATGCGGGACAAAGTATCCGCCAGAAAATTCTTCCCTCCGGGGATATATTTCAGGCAAAAATTAAAGCATCTGAAATATAACGCCCATCTAACCTGCTTGGGCGACAGCTTACATGGGGCCTGGAGGGCTTCCAGGTTCTTATGATCTGTCTAGACCTCGTATGGTAAGCTACTCCCCTCCAACAGATGTCTCCATGTTAGTAGGGCCCACTGCATCGCAAATGCCTCCTTCTCCCATATGCATTTGGTCGCATTCAATTTGTGGGAGGTATATGCACATGGGTGCAAACGCCCCTCCTCATTTGTTCGCTGCCACCGCCACGTTGCTGGCATCTGCTTGCACTATGACTGGCTTGGTGGGATCCGATTTTTTCAGTATCAGCTCTCTTGCAAAGTCTTCAGGTGTTCGAATGCAGGTTGGCAAGCCAATGTCCATTGTACTGGTTAGCCAGGATGAGGTTTTTGGATTAAATGTTTCGTTCGGAGAAGATTCATTAATGGAAGAGCCACACGAGCAAAGGATGGGATGAACTGGTGATAAAAATTTGCAAACCCCAAGAAGCTGTCAAACTCCTGCTCACTACAGACCTGTTTTAGGTCATTATATCCCGCAGGGAGGCCGCCCAGTCTACTGTCATGCCTGTTGGCCATTTGGGTGGTCCCTATCCCCTCGGGGTGCAGTTCATGCAGGGGCGGGTTAGGCCCCACCGCTATTCTCAGATGCCTACAACCCCCTCCCCGCCAGATCGTTGGGCCCCACTAATCTCTAAACTAATCTAGTGTCTCCAGCTGTCCTCCTAGCAAAGACCCATCCATCTGCTCAAAACGGATGGGATGTGCTAATCTGCACACCCCCACTCCTATACTATATGTGGTGGCTGCACTCATGAGACAACAGGTGCAGTCTGAGTCCACAAGTGCCTTGCACTTCTGGCGTTTCACCCTCACCACCACTGAAATGAGGAAAGGTTTAATAGCCTGGCTTACCATGGGGTTGGCTTCCACCTCGTCATCGGTTCCACTGGTCATTTTTTCCCTGTTATCAGGAGTGGTGCCGCTTTCACCAGGGGGGGAGGATGGCCTGCGTGCTGCGTCCCCCCCCCCAACTGGAGTTTTCCGTGTACCCTTCCTGGCAGTGCTCTGCCTGGGCTTTGGTGTTCCAATTGATCGAGTTATACCCATCTCGGCATCTAAGGTACAATGTCCCGGCTTCCTGCATCGGAAGCAGATCATCAGGGCTCATGTGAGACCGGGCTTCCCTGGCAAGGTTGCTGAGGGTGTGGTGGGAGTTGGGTCTGGTAGCCGTGTCATCTGGACTAGTCGCATGAGCCGGTCTGGTGACCTCCTACCCCTGGCAGTCCAATCTGGTCTAGCCCAGTTGTCTCTCCGGAGCTCCGTACCGATCTTGGTGGTGGCCTGAATCCATGCCGCCAGGCAGGGAGGAAGGCCACGTGTCACACACATTTGTCATAATACCCGGTCTAGTCCAGAGTTGAATTGATGTACCATCAGCCTCTCCGGCCAACCCCACACCTTTCCTGCCAACCTCCAGAATTCCTTTATATAAGCGCCCACTGGTCTGCCTCATTGCCTAGCTGCCAACAAGTCCCCTTCAGCTTGTTATAGCTGTCTGTTATCCTCGAACTGTTCCTGCATAGCTGAGAGGAACAGGCCTATATCTCCTAGTTCCCTGGCATGTTTGCTATATAAGTCAGCAACACAGTTGGCTGCTTCACCCTCCATAACGGTGGACACCGCCATTACCATGGCCACTGGGAAGTATATAGATGGCCGTACTTATCAAGATGGTCCTGTCCGGGCTGCCATCAAGCAAGGCCCACACAGCTGGCGGGTCCCACTAGGGGGCCTGGCCCTGGGCTGCAACCGGCCAGGATTGGAGTGGGGTCCAATTGTCCTGCCTCAGAGCCCTGTCTTGGGCCCCCAGTGTTCGAAGTGGGCCCTTAGGGGTGGATTGGTGATCTTGGGCCTTCCCCTATCATACCGTGGGTTTGGGTTTTTCTCCGGGAACTGGGTCAGGCCCTTTGTTGGTAGGTGAGCTTCACGTGCTGTGTGAGATTCCAAACCCCTCCTCCAACCTCTACCAGAGTTTAGGCCCTTGAACTCAGCAGGACCAAACATCTCCCTTAACACATCCAGAGTCTGGCTCCCCAGGGCAGTAGAGTAACTCCACTCGTCCTCAGAGATGCGTCTCTCCTGCCACTGAATGAAATGGCCCCTGGTGGGAGTGACCATGAGTGGAGGCGGGGGTGCCTCATAACCCCCTTGGCCCATTGGACCCATCCACCACTCTCCCATAGCCTCTGTCCTTTGCAGTCTGACCTGGTCAATATCCCCCATCTCCTGGTCCAAATGTGGGGGAAGCAATGCTGGGTGCTCCTTAGGCCTAACATTTGGCCCCATTTGCTGAATGGGCAGGTCTTCTGGAGTGGAAAGCTCAGCTTGCTCCCCCGACTCCACTAAGTCCACAGTTTCTAGTCCTGAACTTGCGTCCTGCGTCCCCTCTGCCATGTTTACTGTATATATAGAGGAAGAGAAGAGCGCTGACAACCTGTCAGGTTCCGGAATGCCGCAGTAAAATAAGACTCCAAACAAAAGCTGTCTGTGTTGTAGAGTACTTTATCCTCGGCTCCTGCACGATCCAACAAACACCTGTGAAGAATGAAGCATTGTCAGCGCTATTGTCCCCACCACCTTTTAAGGTTACCTGCTACCCCTGTGACTCCACCCTATAGCTCCACCCCCAAGCCTAGATGCGCTCCGTCATCACAGGTAGCCGACATGGCGTTACAAGGCGCTTCCCCTTTGGCTTGTTGAGGTTGCCTGGGAATGCTACTGAGATCGGAGTCCCTGTGGCTCAGCTGTTTCCGGCCCCGCCCCTCAGCTGTGCGGCAGCGACAGTGTTGGAGGCGTCCACTGTAATGGCAGCGCCCACAGCAGTAGCAACAGTGTTAGAAGTGTCCACTGTAATGGCGGTGCGCGCAGCGATAAGGAATGCCTCCAAAGCTTTGGGGCCGTGTCGTGGATGATGGCTACGGTGGCTATGGCGAGCATGACGGCAGCTGCAGCGGCTACCCTTTTGAGCATGATGGCTGGTAAGCGGGTTCCCCCTGACACACCAAAAACACTCCACATAATGCTGCTGTAGCGGCCAGCCAGTCACCACATGGTGTACATTCTTGTAGATGCCATCTTTGCTACTTCCACCACATTCCAGGTCTGGGGCTTCCATGATCCAAAGTACAGCAGCCTACCATTATTAATTACCTATTTTGCTATTTCTTTATCTGTGTAGACTCTTAAGAAAGCCATCTGACTTAATACTAATAAGACATATATATATATTGTTTTGCAGGGATGTTGGACCTCTTAAACTAGTATCAGCCATGTAGTTTGACAATATTACTAGAAGTTGAGTAAACAGTATATGAGTCTTAAGATATTTATATATGAAGTAAATATTTATCAAACTTCTGCAAATATTTTTATTCAGTCCCCTGCAAACATATTTTAGAATCTTATTTGCTGGCATTATACTCATATACTCTCTAGCTAGAAGAAACTTTATAGGAAATATATTTGTAAAGGATGAAGTATCCCTCTTATATCATTAGTTATATTATTTTTGTTTTGAATAGGCAACAGAATTCACTCTCTTGCTTTTCAAGCCCAAAGATCTAAAAGAATGCAGTGGATTTTGGCCATCCACTGGTGTTGGTGGATTCCTTGTCTGACAGTTTAAAAATATTTGCAAAAGCATGAACATCACTAAGTAGAAAAAAAAGATTTCCATAATACCATGTAAACTATGCAATTTAATAATACTGTCTTGCTTTTAAAATCTAAAAAAACTATTTTCAAAACTCAATCAATATTCCTGGTCTCCTACCTACCATTTTGTCAGCTACTGAAGTACTGTCATTTTTACTGTCTTCTCTGATTTGCTGAAACAAATTTAGTTTTCTTGCAGACTTTTTCAAGAAACACCTCTTACTGTGGAGCTCAAGATGACGAGTATCGGGTGGAGGTTACTACAGCTTTGCAGAGAATTGACTTATTCACACAGCAATTCAACGCTATCCTCTTAACTTCTATATCTGTCTTCATTAAAGGGGATCTTACTATAGCAAATCTGGGGACATCTGAAGGACACTTTATGCAGGTAAGCAATATAATATTTTACTACTTGGTTTTGTTTTTGTTTTTACAAATTCAGTCAATAAAGGCTAAGGCTCGGAAGGAAGAGAATCATCCTTGACTGGGAAAGTCAATGCTAAAATTTTAACAGTAATACAAGTTAAGTTGAAGAAAGCAGACATGAAATAAAATCCATGCTCAGTTTAAAACCAGTAATTAATTTGAAGTAGAGTTATGACATTATTTCCTCTATAGTGGAATACCTCCTACATTATCTTTTATTGAACTCAGCATCTACTGTTTCTGGCATTGCTCTCAGTCCTAAAGCAATCTCTTATGATACAGGTAGTCCTTTGGATAAGACAGCAATTGGGACCCATCACTAAGCAACATGGTAAAATGTCATATGACTAAATTGCTTAACAAGGGCAATTCCGGTAGTCCTAGTTGCTGTTGTTACACAAGGACTATGTGGGTCATTAAGCAAAAATCTTATGTGGTTGTAACTTTTGACTTCCTGCAACTTTTGAGTTATTGACTTTGCTTGTGAGAAGTCAGCAGGAAATGTGAGAAATTGTGATCACATGACTGTGGGAATATTGTGACAGCCAGATCTTTGATGACCATCACAAGTCCCACTCATTCAGTGCCTTTATAACTTCAAATAGTTGTTGGGTGAATGACCATAACCAGAGAGTTACTGTATTTTTCGGAGTATAGCTTGATTAGCACAAGGGGAAAAAAATCTGCTCCAGCAATTTACCTCCTTGCAGCAAGCAGCAGAGGCCTGTGCAAAACAGCAGAGAGCAAAACAGCGGAGAGTCGGGAGGTCGATCCAATCAACTTGTGCTAATTAGGCTGTGCTGAAGCTGAAAGGAGCTGTTTTTTCTTGCTGTTTGCTGCAAGGAGGTAACTGCTGGGAGGCAGAAGCCAAAGGGTGGGGGCCAGTGGGTGGGTGGGGCTACATTTGCTATATAAGACGCACCTAAATTTTCACCCCCTTTTGGGGGGGGGAAAGGTGCATCTTATACTCCGAAAAATACGGTACATGTATGCCATAACTTTACTAGTGCTCTGATCCAGAAGTTCACCAAGCACCTGTAATTCTATTTTCGTCAAGGAAATTCTATGCATGAATTTAATCGATTGAATTAAAATAACTATTTTAAGAAAAGAAAAAAAACTTCTTATTCCAAAGTATGAAGTAGTATGATATAATTATTCTGTTCTTCAAAAAATGAATGAAAATGTTCTATACCCTAGCATGGTGGGAGATACAGTATATTTGAATTTTTAAATATCTTGAAAGAAATTTTAAATTTTGTCTTTTTAAAGGTACAGCTAAACCATTCTATTTAGATATTAGTTTCTGGCATTGAAAGTTTCAGTGAGTGCAAGCTCTTGAAATCCATTTTTATAAGTTGAACAGCTCGTTCAAATAGTAACCAGCATATTTAACTATTGTAGGCTGTAGCTCTCTAGTTGCTTTGCAAGAGAATTCAGCAGTTATGTGGACAAATAGTAGGGTAATATATTCAATGAACTGTTTTGTGATTAAATGTGATATGGGGAATAGAATTCTAATTCACTATAGTTTCCTTTAAAGTGCCAGCACTTGATGTAAAATATTTTTATAACCTCCACAGAAATAAAAAAATAAGATTTTCCTATTTCAGAATTGTGTTCTCACTCATTTCTGTCATAAGCCAGATCATTTCATACATTTTATCTTCACTATACTGAACTCTAGAAAATCTAACACAATACTTCCAGAGCACGTTTCCTTTGGTAAGGCTAGCCAAGGGAGTAAAAAGAATGCTATTGTCTGAAATATGTTGTGCCATTAGGAGAAATGTCTATATCCACTGTATTGAGTTACTGAACAAAAATTGTCTTCAATATTGTATTTTAATAACCTGTGGAGTTTTCCCCTCCTCCCCCAATTTTGTTAGAAGAGTCTGACATATTCAAAAGTCCAAAACATATTAATTGCTTTTAATACTTAGTAACATCCTATCTGTTCTTAATATTTTGTCTTTGTGATGCATCTTTTAGGCATAAAAAATAAGAGAAGGGATATGAATATTATAGAACATATGTAGGATTTCCTTTACTTTGTTAAGCAAATGGTTACATGGGAAATAGTTTCAAATGTATTCTCGCATGCTGTTTCTTGGGATTATCAATAATAAAAAAATTTAATTGTGATATCTGTTACTAGAGTTGCTTAACCTCAGGGTAAGGACAATGGTTATATATTAGAACAAATCAAATGCTCTTAACACTCTGTTTAGATATGATAGTATAATTATTAACAAAAGTAACAATATGTCATTGGTACAGAATTGCATAATTAATATGTTGTTAGCAGGTCAGCTGTGCAATGGACTTTTTTTGTAAAAACTGCAATAAGGAGATAAGGATTTTTTTTATAACAAAAAATGAAAAACAGCAGCTGTCTATGAAACTGTTACAATTTCTGAATTTTCATGTTTGAGCTTTCTGCTAAGCATTAGGATCTATGGAGTGCTTAACTGTAACAACTATCCTGATAGTGCAATCCTATGCTAGTTTCTTCCCAAATATTCCTCTGGTATTCATTGAGCTTCTGAAGTAACTGTGCATAGGGTTGGGACACAACTCAGCTTTGATTATGTTATTGTGCACATTTTATGAGGCAGACTTTCTAACGTTTAACATTTTTATTGAGTTATATAATAAAATCAGATACAAAATACAGAAGTAAATAGGTGGGGAGGAAGAGGTGGAAAAGAAGTGTGGAAGGATAAGAAAAAGAAAAAGAAACATTGTCTTCCGACTCTCTCTGTTCCAGTAAAATAAGGCATTAACATCAAATCCCAACTTTTTAAAAAAAATAATAGGAGCAAGCCATTTCTATAAGGATCTATCAATCTAATCGGTAAAATCCAAAATCAAAGTTTCATTCTTTTCCACTTCAAGCACAAAGTTCAGAAGCAGTCAACAGGCGGAAACAAAAGTACTTATATTCTTTTCTTTAATCGAAATAGTCAATTTTGCCATTTCAGCCAACTCCATCAACTTCTGCAACCATTTGTCCATGGTAGGGATCAAAGTGTCCTTCCACTTTTGTGCATACTGTACAATAGTCTTGCTGCTGTCAACATATATAGTAAAAAAGTTTCAAATTTTCTCCAGGTCTTTTTCCATTATGCCCAAAAGGAAAAGTTCTGGTTTCATCTTTATCTCCATTTTCAAAATTTTCTGTATTAAAATATTTATCATACTGCAAAAAATTTTTGCTTTATCACATGTCCACCATAGATGATAAAAAGTCTCTTCTTTGCTTTTACACTTCCAACATTCATTTGACATACCTTTATGTATCTTAGATAACTTATCTGGTGTTAAATACCAACAATACATCATCTTACAGAAATTTTCTTTTAGATTATAATTTAATGTAAATTTTAAACTCTTCATCCACATATTTTCCCATTGTTCAAGGATCACATTATATCCAAAATTCCTTGCCCACTGAGTCATATAATGTTTTACATGTTCATTTTCCAAATTCAATTTCAATAATATTTTATAGAACTTAGCGATAACATGTTCGTTTCCACATAATAACATTTCCAATTCATTTTTAACAAAGTCAAATCCATAGCACTTTTTATCCAGTTTAAATCTTTTTTTCAGTTGTTGATAAGTAAACTAATGGCAAGCATAACCTTCTGATTCAAGTTCTTCCTCATCTTTAATATTGAGTCACCAGAGTTGAAAGATAACATTTTAGCATACGTCAACAGTTTGGCTTTGCACCATTTCTTTTCTAAAGAAAGCTTCCTGGGGTGACACTCAAAGAGGCAACTTTGTAGAGAGCCTTGCTTTATATTTATTCCCAACTCTTAGTATGGCACATCTAACAACATGATTATTAAATTCAACATTACTTTTATCATTGTTGAGGGCAAAACTGCCCTCTGCAAAGTAGTGCAACGGACCAGACAGTGAATAGATACGTTGCTTAGCAAAACACACAGATAGTAACAGCCTCTGAACGTTTAAAGAAAAATAAACAGTCTTTACTTGTAGTATAAAAACAAACTTGGCTTCTCAAAACAACTTCTTCAAACAATCACGGTTTAACACAAAACATAGTTTGCTTACAATTCCAGTTCTCTTCAAACACAGACACAGTTCCTTCCAGCAGTTCAACCTTCAATAGCAGGAGCAGGAGCAGGAGCAGAAGCAAGAGCAGAAGTGAACAAACTTCCTGCCTTCCTTTTATGTCTGCTTAGCACAGCCAATTAGTCATCTTTGTAGCAGTTAAAGTTACAGAACATAGTTTTCTATATATTATCTACCCAACCGTAGGATAAGCATCCAACATTCATACCCTAAGTAGCCGTGCCATCCAAATCTTAATTCATGGCCCTCTAATTCAAGATGCTCTTATTCTGGAGGCTCACCCATTCTTTTGACCAGGTCAGACAGCATGCATCAAAATACAGTTTCATATCTGGTAGACCCAACCCCCCTTTTTTCGTGGCATCTTGCAATAGTTTATATCTAATTCTTGGTTTTTTCCTTTTCCATATGAACTTGGAAATATCCTTCTGCCATTGTTTAAATGGGTTGTCAGTTGTAAGTATTGGTGACATCTAAAATTTAAAAAAGCATCTTTGGTAAAATAATCATCTTGGTTACAGAGGTTCTACTCAATAATGATAAGTGTAGTTTAGCCCATCTTTGTAAGTCTTGTTTAATATTCCTCCAAAGAGAGACGTAGTTGTTTTGAAACAGTTTTATATTTGTATTTGTCAACATAACCCCTAGCTATTTCAACTTTTTTTAAAGCCCGACTTTTTGTTCAATATATCACTATCTTGAGAAGACATATTCTTGATCAGCAATGTTGTTTTCTGTTTATTTATTTTGAAACCTGCCAAAGCCCCAAACTCATTCAATTTCCTCATCAAATATCCTATATTGTTTTTGAGTCCTGTAAAAATATAACCAGATCATCAGCAGATGCCGTCA